AGCTGATGGCTCTGGAGCTCAAGGGATCTGCCCCTCCATGCCACACAGCACCCCCTTTCATTTGATAACCCAAAAGCTTGACTTTTTAATGGCAAATACTGTAATTTTAAGAAAATTTTTTTGCGAGATGGACCCCTTTGCATTACAAGATAGAAGTAAGAGAAATAAAACTAAATAGGTTTATGTCTCTGCTTGAAGCAGCAAAAGTATACGTGAATAATAATTATAATTAATTAATTTTATTCTTTAAAAGTTAATAAAGTGAAACCAGCAAAAAGGTCAAAACCACAGGTGCTCTAAATGACAAGCAAGTAATCAGAGACATGGGTTAGAACATGGGCCTTGTCAGGGATAGTTAGGAATATAGAATATGCAGTGCCAGATATGATCTGTGTCCTGCCTCTACCAATGGTCAATATCTTCTTTCAAAGAAAGACAACATCCCTCTCCCTACCCTGAAATAATACATCTAGGGTGAAATGCTTCCCCACTGGAGGCAATGGGAGTTTTGCCACTGACTTCTATGGCTTCAGGGTGTCATCCATAACCAACTGTACCCAGTGTGCTTTGGGTGTGGGATGGACACTTCCTTTCTGATACAACCAACATCAAGTCTGATCAGCTTAAACCCTGAAGCATGAGATTTGATTTCCTTATGTTAACGTGCATAGCTATAGCTATTCCAGGAAAGGGAGAAGGAGGTAACTTATTCCCTCCCAAAGGAAGAATCTTCAAGAGAAAACTATGGAGATTAACATGTTCCTATTGCACAGAGTCCTCTGAATTCTTCTGTTATGTGGATGGGTTTATACCATGTGGCGGAATCAGAGAATCCAGCACCCAAATCCCATGATTGCATAGGATGGCCCTGTTCCTCTTCACTAGTTTCAAGGCCCTGGCCTGCCTATTCTGCAAGGATCCCAATTCCAACAGAAAGCCCTTTTCAGAGTATCAAGAAGGAGTCAACAGGACTGGGGTCTGAATTTTGAGGTTCAGGTTAACACCAATGAATCCTTATTAGTATAAAAATAAAGCAGGAGCAGGTTTGCTAAATACGATTCTAATTGCTAACTGATTCATTTTTTCTCAGATTATATCTAATTTACCTTACATTAACAGAGATTAAACACAATTTTGTTTTAATATGTCATGTATTTTGTGCTCTAGACATCTATAAACCTTGTGCAATTAAGCCCTTGACAATGTTGTTCATTATCTGACATATTATGCTCATTTTATATCCACTTTGTATTGTCCAAATTAGAAAACTTTAAAAGGAGAATTAGAGAGAACAGCAGAAAACAATCCTGAGGAAAAATTAAGCTTTCTATCTTGTTTTAGGGAAAGAAGAATGTCAGCTGGATGTTCCTTGAAGATAATAAGGGTGATGGTGAACCTCAAAGTTCAAGAGGTTCATTTTGGAAGAGCACTGAAATAACATTGTCTGGGGCTTAACTGCATAAGGTTGAGAGATGTATCAGATCAGATTTTCTCTTGGGATGGAGGATTCCAGTAGAATATTGAAGCTAGGTCTGAGACTCAGATCATGTGATGTGATCTTGGGGAAGCACCATGGGAAAGCAGGGCAGAAGAAATGGATGGATCTTTTCTGGGAAAGAGTAGCCAGAAGACGGTCCAAGGAAAGTTGAGCTAAGCTGTAACTTGATTTATGCTGCTTTTGATAAATGTGGTATTTTTTTTAAAGTAACATGGAAAGACCTGGGGAAAATACACAGGCCGAGGTTTTCCAAAGTGACAAGTGGTTTTGGAAGCCTCCGTTCTTGGTTGTCAAACTTAAGATGCCCTTTAAAGGGCCTAATTTGCACAGGGCGGTGCTCAGCTCTTTCTGAAAATCAGGTCCCTTCCAGGTGTTTTAAGTTGGAGATGCAAAATGTAAGGCACTCAGAATCACTAATCCTATCTGAATACCTGGGCCATCGATGTGAATGCAGCAGGAGAACTATTCTTCAGTATGGAGGGAGTATAGCCTTTGAGGCTTCAAGAGGACTAAGTGCAGATGGAAGAGATGCAGTTTAGGATTTTATACAGCCAATTTAATAGCATGTCATTTGTTGTTCAGCTGCAGGAAAATTGCTGGTTATATAGTGTTGTAAACTATAGAACATGGCTCTCTGAAAAGCACTTACTACAGGTCTCCTTGAACATGTAGCTCTCCATTCCTGCAGTCTCACTCTTACTGGTTCTCCTTCCTTGCGCCTTTCCTTCGGGGTCCTAACTCCCAATAATTTGAATCTAGAAGCACAATAATAATGACTTTCCTATTACTGAGCCCTCCAGACTAGAGGAATGCTGGGACATTCAGTGAAAGGAAACCTGGGGCCCTAGGGCCTTTTGTTAATTAATGTTTGTATGGTGCTTTGGAAAAGAATGCTAAGCGCTAAGGACTAATGAGAAGGAGAATGGCTCTACTAGGTTTCTTGTTGATTTGGCTGGTTTGTGTAATAAAATTGCTGAACTCAAAAGGGTTTCTGCCTGAGATGGTATCTCCTGGAGGACCCAAAAGGACTAGCCTGGAATATTAGGATGTTTCCTGGCAATATGTAATGGTAAGTGCAGGGATGAGAAATATCCCGAAAGAAAAATGGTTGGTGTCAATTTTGTTCACATGCATAGAAGAAATTCCACCAGTAACCATATCATGGTGGGATGAATCATGTTAATGTTGCTTTTATAATTGTATAACACTATTAACCTACTTTATCCAGGCTGCAGGCTACTATTTGTAGTGTCAACAATGATTCGCGGCATTTCAGTTCATCACATGACCTCATGGGAAATGCTACAAGCTTTTGCAGTGGGAATGGAAATCGTGTTTGTGCTATATATATGCAAATATTTTGAATGAGTGTCCCATGAAAATTCAAAGAAGGATGTTAAGGTTAAGGAATTATGATGTGGTGTTAAATTACACTCCTGGAAAATGGAAATACTGTATCCAGCCAATCTGTTTTCACAGGCAGTCGTAGAGAACAAGACCAACAGTTACCCTTGGAGAAGAGACCTGTAGGTGGAATTACAACTGTTGCTGTGCTCCCAATATTTCAACAAAGACAGGATAAAATCTAGAGGGGCAAAGACGTGCCTGAGGTAATGCATAAAACTCTTAAGGAGATTATTTGGCCATTCTTTAAAGTGAGTGCCTGAAATATGATTGTAATTTCAATTTTATAGAGTCATATCATTCCCATTACATAGCTGCTAAACATCAATAGGTACAGTCTTAATAGTCAACTGGCACAGAAGTATAACTCTCTTCTGCTTTCTTTTAGGCATTACAAGTTTCTGTGACAGTGAATTAACTTGTGAGGTAATAACCTCTTTAAAAAATAACTTTAATTGGAATTCACTCGACAAGAGGTATTTCCAGATTTAAGCATTTGAAAGTATGGCATACTACGAGCACATAGTTATTACTGGAGAATTCATACAATTATATAGGTAAAACTGTACCATTCCCAGTATCGTTCCTGTTTGTGCTTCTGGCTTAGATGTCATCCAGCAAAATTCAGTCTTGATAATTATGGAATCCATTCTCTATTAGTACTCAGAACAAATAAAGGAGATAAAATCTGACCTGCAGTATGATAATTTAGTATTCTTGTTTAACAAAAAGAGTTAAAGTTATATTTGATTATCTAAATTAAAGAGATTAAATTATATTGGGCAGGAATCAGGAAAATCTAGTTCTTGGGGTAAAAAATAAATACATTTTAAAGACCACAACATTTTCATATCTGAAACAAACCCTGCCCTGAGGAAGAAGGGTCTTGTGGTTAAGTACCTGGGCTATGAGTCAGGAGAAACTGGATTTAGTTCTTGGTACTGCCACAGAGTTCCTGAGTTTTCTATGGGAAAGTCACTTAATCATTACATGCTTCTGTAAAATGGAGTAATATTTCACTACTTTATAGGGCTGTGTGAGGATAAATTCATGAATGATTATGGGCTGCTTACATACCACTTAATGTTGGCCGTAGAAGCATTTGAATAACTCAACCTCTCAGGCCATACATTTGTGTGTGTGTGTGTGTGTGTGTAAATATATCTATATAAAAGTAGCTCATCTAGCTTGCAAGTCTTTTATTGCACCATTAAAGTGAATTAAAAACCTGAGATTTGCTCCTGGAGATATATTATGGGGTGTTTGACGTGGTTTACCCATTTAATTTGTTTGTTCTTTTTCGTAACTGGTTCTTTCATGCTGCCATGAGCTAACATGTTGACTGGTGAGTAGGGACAAATGCTGTGAATTCATTTTCAGGTAATCTCTTCTTTAGCATTTTATTGACAGCATAATAAGATGATTTTACAGCAGAAAAAGACTGTGAAAATCTTAGATGTCAGGGACTGAATTTATTCATCATGAATATAAATGCCAGCAGCAGGATGGATATTATGACCCTCTTGTGACAGAGTTGTGACAGCTATGCCAAACTCAGGAAATGTCTGAAATACAGGACAGCTTAATTAAAGTCAGAGGAAAAATTTGTAATTGAGGAAAAAAAATTAAGGTGACAGTCTTTCACTTGAAAACACAGAAAAGGTAATTAACTAAAAGTGTAAAGAATACCCACTTCTGCTTGGGCTGTGGACTTAGTCCATGATCCAAGCACTTGAGTGGTCCTATTGACAGGATTTGCTGGATTGGGGCTTTATTCCCTACGATGCTCCTGCATAGCATTTCTCTTGTCAGGAACCCAATATGCTTTACATAGCCCTGGTCTACACTAGGACTTTAGGTCGAATTTAGCAGCGTTAAATCGATGTAAACCTGCACCCGTCCACACAATGAAGCCCTTTATTTCGACTTAAAGGGCTCTTAAAATCGATTTCCTTACTCCACCCCTGACAAGTGGATTAGCGCTTAAATCGACGTTGCCGGCTCGAATTTGGGGTACTGTGGACACAATTCGATGGTATTGGCCTCCGGGAGCTATCCCAGAGTGCTCCATTGTTACCGCTCTGGACAGCACTCTCAACTCAGATGCACTGGCCAGGTAGACAGGAAAAGAACCGCGAACTTTTGAATCTCATTTCCTGTTTGGCCAGCGTGGCAAGCTGCAGGTGACCATGCAGAGCTCATCAGCACAGGTGACCATGATGGAGTCCCAGAATTGCAAAAGAGCTCCAGCATGGACCGAACGGGAGGTACGGGATCTGATCGCTGTTTGGGGAGAGGAATCCGTGCTATCAGAACTCCGTTCCAGTTTTCGAAATGCCAAAACCTTTGTGAAAATCTCCCAGGGCATGAAGGACAGAGGCCATAACAGGGACCCGAAGCAGTGCCGCGTGAAACTGAAGGAGCTGAGGCAAGCCTACCAGAAAACCAGAGAGGCGAACAGCCGCTCTGGGTCAGAGCCCCAAACATGCCGCTTCTATGATGAGCTGCATGCCATTTTAGGGGGTTCAGCCACCACTACCCCAGCTGTGTTGTTTGACTCCTTCAATGGAGATGGAGGCAATACGGAAGCAGGTTTTGGGGACGAAGAAGATGATGAGGAGGAGGAGGTTGTAGATAGCTCACAGCAAGCAAGCGGAGAAACCGGTTTTCCCGACAGCCAGGAACTGTTTCTCACCCTAGACCTGGAGCCAGTACCCCCGAACCCACCCAAGGCTGCCTCCTGGACCCAGCAGGCGGAGAAGGGACCTCTGGTGAGTGTACCTTTTAAAATACTATACATGGTTTAAAAGCAAGCATGTGAAAGGATTACTTTTCCCTGGCATTTGCGGTTCTCCTAGATGTAGTCCTAAAGCCTTTGCAAAAGGTTTCTGGGGAGGGCAGCCTTATTGCGTCCTTCATGGTAGGACACTTTACCACTCCAGGCCAGTAACACGTACTCGGGAATCATTGTACAACAAAGCATTGCAGTGTATGTTTGCTGGCATTCAAACAACATCCGTTCTTTATCTCTCTGTGTTATCCTCAGGAGAGTGAGATATAATTCATGGTCACCTGGTTGAAATAGAGTGCTTTTCTTCAGGGGACACTCAGAGGAGCCCATTCCTGCTGGGCTGTTTGCCTGTGGCTAAACAGAAATGTTCCCCACTGTTAGCCACAGGGAGGGGGGAAGGTTGAGGGGGTAGTCACGCGGTGGGAGGAGGCAAAATGCGACCTTGTAACGAAAGCACATGTGCTATGTATGTAATGTTAACAGCAAGGTTTACCCTGAAAGAGTGTAGCCACTGTTTTATAAAATGTGTCTTTTTAAATACCGCTGTCCCTTTTTTTTTCTCTACCAGCTGCATGTGTTTCAATGATCACAGGATCTTCTCCTTCCCAGAGGCTAGTGAAGCTTAGAAAGAAAAAAAAAATGCACTCGCGATGAAATGTTCTCCGAGCTCATGCTGTCCTCCCACACTGACAGAGCACAGACGAATGCGTGGAGGCAAATAATGTCAGAGTGCAGGAAAGCACAAAATGACCGGGAGGAGAGGTGGCGGGCTGAAGAGAGTAAGTGGTGGGCTGAAGAGAGTAAGTGGCGGGCTGAAGACAGGGCTGAAGCTCAAATGTGGCGGCAGCGTGATGAGAGGAGGCAGGATTCAATGCTGAGGCTGCTGCAGGACCAAACCAGTATGCTCCAGTGTATGGTTGAGCTGCAGCAAAGGCAGCTGGAGCACAGACTGCCACTGCAGCCCCTCTGTAACCAACCGCCCTCCTCCCCAAGTTCCATAGCCTCCACACCCAGACGCCCAAGAACGCGGGTGGGGGGGCCTCCGGCCAACCAGCCACTCCACCACAGAGGATTGCCCAAAAAAAAGAAGGCTGTCATTCAATAAATTTTAAAGTTGTAAACTTTTAAAGTGCTGTGCTTAAAGTGCTGTGTGGCATTTTCCTTCCTTCCTCCACCACCCCTCCTGGGCTACCTTGGTAGTCATCCCCCTATTTGTGTGATGAATGAATAAAGAATGCATGAATGTGAAGCAACAATGACTTTATTGCCTCTGCAAGCGGTGATTGAAGGGAGGAGGGGCGGGTGGTTAGCTTACAGGGAAGTAGAGTGAACCAAGGGGCAGGGGGTTTCATCAAGGAAAAACAAACAGAACTTTCACACCGTAGCCTGGCCAGTCATAAAACTGGTTTTCAAAGCTTCTCTGATGCGTACCGCGCCCTCCTGTGCTCTTCTAACTGCCCTGGTGTCTGGCTGCGCGTAACCAGCAGCCAGGCGATTTGCCTCAACCTCCCACCCCGCCATAAATGTCTCCCCCTTACTCTCACAGATATTGTGGAGCACACAGCAAGCAGTAATAACAGTGGGAATATTGGTTTCGCTGAGGTCTAAGCGAGTCAGTAAACTGCGCCAGCGCGCCTTTAAATGTCCAAATGCACATTCTACCACCATTCTGCACTTGCTCAGCCTGTAGTTGAACAGCTCCTGACTACTGTCCAGGCTGCCTGTGTACGGCTTCATGAGCCATGGCATTAAGGGGTAGGCTGGGTCCCCAAGGATACATATAGGCATTTCAACATCCCCAACAGTTATTTTCTGGTCTGGGAATAAAGTCCCTTCCTGCAGCTTTTGAAACAGACCAGAGTTCCTGAAGATGCGAGCATCATGCACCTTTCCCGGCCATCCCACGTTAATGTTGGTGAAACGTCCCTTGTGATCCACCAGAGCTTGCAGCACTATCGAAAAGTACCCCTTGCGGTTTATGTACTCGGCGGCTTGGTGCTCCGGTGCCAAGATAGGGATATGGGTTCCGTCTATAGCCCCACCACAGTTAGGGAATCCCATTGCAGCAAAGCCATCCACTATGACCTGCACATTTCCCAGGGTCACTACCCTTGATATCAGCAGATCTTTGATTGCGTGGGCTACTTGCATCACAGCAGCCCCCACAGTAGATTTGCCCACTCCAAATTGATTCCCAACTGACCGGTAGCTGTCTGGCGTTGCAAGCTTCCACAGGGCTATCGCCACTCGCTTCTCAACTGTGAGGGCTGCTCTAATCTTGGTATTCATGCGCTTCAGGGCAGGGGAAAGCAAGTCACAAAGTTCCATGAAAGTGCCCTTACGCATGCGAAAGTTTTGCAGCCACTGGGAATCGTCCCAGACCTGCAACACTATGCGGTCCCACCAGTCTGTGCTTGTTTCCCGAGCCCAGAATCGGCGTTCCACAGCATGAACCTGCCCCATTAGCACCATGATGTATGCATTGGCAGGGCCCATGCTTTCAGAGAAATCTGTGTCCATGTCCTGATCACTCACGTGACCGCGCTGACGTCGCCTCCTCGCCCGGTATCGCTTTGCCAGGTTCTGGTGCTGCATATACTGCTGGATAATGCGTGTGGTGTTTAATGTGCTCCTAATTGCCAAAGTGAGCTGAGCGGCCTCCATGCTTGCCTTGGTATGGCGTCCGCACAGAAAAAAGGCGCGGAACGATTGTCTGCCGTTGCTCTGACGGAGGGAGGGGCGACTGACGACACGGCTTACATGGTTGGCTTCAGGGAGCTAAAATCAACAAAGGGGGTGCCTGTACATCAAGGAGTATTTCAGGCAGGACTTCACGGAGGGTTCCAGTAAGAAATGGTGCACCTAAGTTATTGTTCTTATTGGAACAAGGAGGTTAGTCTGGCCTCTGACTGATACATGCCTAGATTTACCTCGCTGCACCTTCTCTGTGAGTGACTGCAGTGTGACCTAGAGGAATGAGTCCCCTAGACAGGGGAGGAGGCAAATGAGTACAAAACAAATATGGTCTATTTCTTGTTTTGACCCACTCCATCTATCTTTTACATCTTTGGCTGGCAGCAGACGGTGCAGAAGGACTGCATGCCATCCACATCTCATGGCTGCTCGGCAGAAGATGGTACAGTACGACTGCTAGCCATCCCCATCTCTTGCCTGCCTGGCAGAAGATGGTAAAATACGACTGCTAGCAATCCTCATCTCTTGCCTGCCTGGCAGAAGATGGTACAGTACGACTGCTAGCAGTCCATATCGCCTGCCCGCTCACCATAAGACGGTTCAATAGGACTGACTGCAGGACTAAAGAGAATGACCTGGTCAAGTCACTCCAAATTTAGTCCCTGCGCCCATGTCTGCCCAGGCGTCCCAGCCGACGTGGCCAGGAGCACCTCGGACACGACGAGGACGACTACCAATCGTATTGACCGTCTGCTGCCAGAAGGCAATGGGTTGCTGCTACTGTGCAGCAAAGCCGTACCGGTCTGCCAGCACCCAGGAGACATAGGGTGACGGTTACCTGAGCGGGCTCCATGCTTGCCGTGGTATGGCGTCTGCACAGGTAACTCAGGAAAAAGGCGCGAAATGATTGTCTGCCCTTGCTTTCACGGAGGGAGGGAGGGAACGGGGGCCTGACGATACGTACCCAGAACCACCCGCGACAATGTTTTAGCCCCATCAGAGTGCTCCATTGTGAGTGCTCTGGACAGCACTCTCAGATGCCCGATTGTTTGCCGTTGCTCTGACGCGGGAGGGGCGCTACAGGGTTGGCTTCAGGGAGCTAAAATCAACAAAGGGGGTGGCTTTACATCTAGGAGTATTTCAGGCAGGACTTCACGGAGGGTTCCAATAAGAAATGGTGCACCTAAGTTATTGTCCTTATTGGAACAAGAAGGTTAGCCTGGCCTCTGATTGATACATGGCTAGATTTACCTCGCTGCACCTTCTCTGTGAGTGACTGCAGTGTATCTAGAAGAATGAGTCCCCTAGACAGGGGAGGGGGGAAGAATGAGTACAAACAAATCTGGTCTATTTCTTGTTTTGATCCACTCCATCTATCTTTTACATCTTTGGCTGGCAGCAGACGGTGCAGAAGGACTGCATGCCATCCACATCTCATGGCTGCTCGGCAGAAGATGGTACAGTACGACTGCTAGCAGTCCGTATCGCCTGCCCGCTCACCATAAGACGGTTCAATAGGACTGACTGCAGGGAGGACTAAAGAGAATGACCTGGTCAAGTCACTCCAAATTTAGTCCCTGCGCCCATGTCTGCCCAGGCGCTCCCAGCCGACGTGGCCAGGAGCACCTCGGACATGACGATGACGGCTACCAGTCGTACTGTACCGTCTGCTGCCACAAGGCAAGGGGTTGCTGCTACTGTGTAGCAATGCCGTACCGCGTCTGCCAGCACCCAGGAGACATAGGGTGACGGTTACCTGAGCGGGCTCCATGCTTGCAGTGGTATGGCGTCTGCACAGGTAACTCAGGAAAAAAGGCGCGAAATGATTGTCTGCCCTTGCTTTCACGGAGGGAGGGAGGGAACGGGGGCCTGACGATATGTACCCAGAACCACCCGCGACAATGTTTTAGCCCCATCAGGCATTGGGATCTCAACCCAGAATTCCAATGGGCAGCGGAGACTGCGGGAACTGTGGGATAGCTACCCACAGTGCAACGCTCCGGAAGTCGACTCTAGCCTCGGTACTGTGGAAGCGCTCCGCCGAGTTAATGCACTTAATGCACTTAGAGCATTTTCTGTGGGGACACACACACTCGAATATATAAAACCGATTTCTAAAAAAACGACTTCTATAAATTCGACCTTATTCCGTAGTGTAGACATACCCATAGAAAGTTTATTTTCTCAAGCTGGGCATTAGGGACTCAAAACTAGTAGGTACTTATGAAAATGTTGGTTTAAAATAGAATCTAGGGGGTCTTTTAAATTAAAATGCAAAGTCGTCTTCAATGTTGCAATCAATAAGACTACTCATGGTAGTAAAATTAAGCTCAGTCCACAGGCACTGACTTTTGCTTTTGTTGGTGCATGCTCCTCTCCATTCCCTCCCCCCGGGCAAGCACTGGGTGGGGCCTCAAAGGGAAGAGGCTGAGTGGGGGCGGGGCCTTAGAGCAGAGCATAGATGGGGCCTTGGGGGGAAGAAGCCAAGTGGGAACAGGGCTGAGCGGAGGGAAAGGCTGAGCGGGGGTGGGGTGAAGCATGGGCGGAGCAGGGGGCAGGGCCATGGTCCAGGTACTGGGGCCCACAAAAGATTAATCTGGCCCTGAGCGTGCTGAGCACACCCTATTTTTTTCGGTGAGTGTTTGAGCCCCGAAGCACCCACAGTGTCGGTGCCTATGGCTCAGTCTATATTTTTAATAATCTTTCTTTCCATTTCTCAGTCATGCTGATCTTTAGCTTATCATGCGCCTCCTTTTCGCTCTCCAAAAACAATGCAGGCAAGGATAGGATTGTAATGCCGTAATTCTGCACTGAACATCTCTTTTTGTTACCGCAACTCTTCCCTTTCTATTGTCTTATGAAGAATGAGCCCTTCTCCAGAACCCGTCTTCTGGGGTTGCTCTGGTTACACTTAAGGGTGGAATTTTCAAAGACATCTAAGAGACTTAGGTTCAGGTCCAATGCAGAGCTAGGTGCCTAAATATCTTTTAGGACCTTTGTTTTAGGCTCTTAATTCCTTTAACACCTTTGAAAATTCCACTGTAAATTGTTGTCATGAATTTTAGTCTTCTGAACTGAAGGGGCCCTTGAAAGAGCTCCCCTGGGTGATCAAATTAATTCAGTATACATTAGATTTTCCTTTTGCCAAAGAACTGCTGAAAGTCACTTCTCATGCATTTAAGCACAAGAGCATTTCAGTAAAAAAAATCAATTTGTCAGAAAATCAAGAAACAGCACAAATAAAATCATATACGATGTAATTTAAGAAAGAAACTAGCACAGCATTATAACAGGATTTCCTTATCAACCACTTTCCAGATACTGTTGCTGT